CCCCCCCCCCCCATCCCCAGGACTGGCCTTCATTTGCCCCCCAGCCTTAAGCTGTTTTCTTCAGCCATTTGCTATATTGCAAAATACCTATCAGCCACAAAACAAGAGGAGAACAAAGAGAACCAGGACCTTATCATTTCATCCCTTGCTCTTCCTATTGCCACGCCACAGATTGGGCTTCACTAGTGAAACAAGACTCTCAATCTAAGCCAACCTTACTGAAACAGGCTTTACCTGAAGACATGTGTCTTTACTGAAAGAGAGTTTATTGGCTTCTTCCCCTTGGAGCCTCAGGTTTCAGGGAAACGGGGTAGACTTCATTTAAATCTTTGGCTTGGGATTCTCTGTTTACCAATTTCATTGTGTTGGAGATGCAATGAGAATAATGCTTCATTAAAGCTTGTTTTTGTGATGTTCTAAGATGGTTATATTCTGGGAAGAGGTCATTACACCCATTAATTGGACTTTGAGACAGGGCTTAATGTTTTCAGACATCCATATTTTTTTGAATACATATATGTATGTACTACATGAAAATTAAAGGCTGAACAATGAAAAAGATTCTCCATGTCATTCTTTTTACTAAGAAACTTGGCCTTCAACTTTGGAAAGATAAATATATGGCCCTGATTGCTTGGTAGATTGAAGTCCTGATGTTTTCTGCAACCAATAAGCACATGATTACAGATATAGATTCTGTATGAACAGTTACAATGAAGCATGGCCATTCTTTATTGAAACTGTTATGTTTCTCCCACCGCCTTTTCAGTTCTGTTTAATTAAATAGCCATAATAATAATAATAACAACAACATCTGCCTATCCCAGATCCTTGGGAAGGATTTGATAGGTGGAACAACATCTGCCTATCCCAGATCCTTGGGAAGGATTTGATAGGTGGAACAACATCTGCCTATCCCAGATCCTTGGGAAGGATTTGATAGGTGGATAAAAATGCCAAATCCAATCTAAACATCTGGCTGACTCTGCGACCAACCATAATAATAATAATCCTTGAGTTGTATCACACTATGATGTCAGCCAGACAGTTTCTTTTCCCTGGCTCTGATACGGCTGTGTACTGGTCATTGAGGACATTCATCATAGTGGAGGCTCCACTTTAGGGCCAGCCTGCCACTGAGGTAGGATCAAGTCAGATCAAGGTAATCCAGTGATTAGGAACAGTGTTTTCCTGTGGAAAATAAGCCCTCCTCTGTGTGAACATTCTGATTCATATGGAGGAGGAGCCGAGGAAGGTGGGCTATCTGCAGGGTTCCTACTGGCTGACCATTCCCAACTGACCACAGGGCTCTGTGCTTCTGTGGCCATTTCTCCTTTGGCTGCTGGGACTCTGCTTGAATCAGGTAAGACCTGGGGTTGCACTAGTCAGGCCCTGAGGCTTTTACAGAGACGTTACCAGGATCTGATGCTTTATTAGAGTGCCCTTCTGACACCTTCCATACAGTTCTACTTTCTGTGGGTTTTTTGTTAGGCAATTGGGATACCCAGACTGGAGCACAAAACTGAGAAAATCCTGTTCAGACCAGGATATGTACTAAGTGTATTCCTAAGCCCAAAGAGGTTCCAGGCCCAAAGAGAGTATTCTGTTTTTCTGGACCACAGGCAAAGCTTGCTTTCAGCCCCTCATTTGGATAGTGTGGTAGAAGTGGGAAGAAAGGTCACCCATGCATACCATATCCAGCTGCCTGTGAGTGTCCTCCAGAGGCACCATTAAAGCTTCCTTCATCTGCTTGCTTACACTCTGGAAAAGATTCAGTGTGGCCATCTTGATGGTGCCCAGCATCAGTGTCTTTTTAGCAGCAGTATTCTGGATGTGAGCCCAGCGGGACTCCTATGGAGGAGACACAGGCAACAAAGAAAATGTTGACAGGATTTTGATGAACCCAACTAATTCCTGCTTATATTATAAAAGGGACCACAAATACCCTCTGAGGGACACAGCACAGCAAGCAAAGCAACTAGCCTAGGGAGTCTCTCAGCATACTGTTCAAAGGAAGGCATCCTCATGCGCAGTGCTTGGTTGCTCCTCTGATAAGGAGGAGAGCCTAAGCCAATGGCAGTTGTTTGGCCAGCTCTCTGAATTTGGAACTCTGCCTTCCACCCTTCCTAATAAGCCAATGTTGAAAGCAATGGGTTGTTCTTGGCTTCCAAGCAAAGGGTTTGCTCACCAGCTCTCCTGAGAAAGAAAGAAGTATCCTCACCCCACCTGCTTACCCAGACGATGACATCACTGCGGGCATGGTCAAAGCGCAGCTGCAGGCGTGCCAGCTCATTGTTGTGCTGCAGAATCTCATCATCCTTTTCCTCCTTGTAGCGGGCCAGGCGGACCTTGGCTTGTTCAATCAATTCCAGCCCCTCCTGGGCTGACTGCACGAGATCTCGATGCATCCCAACTAGAGTTTTATAACGTCCAATGACTTCCCGGATTTCTTCAAACTGCAGATGATGTCTTGTGTTATAACTATCCTGAGATGGCAATCCTTTTTTAACTGACAATCAAGGAAGGATAACAACTAAATAACTTAGACACCATGATCTCAGGTAGGGAATTCACTGGGTTCAGGGAGACACATACAATAGATGAGCCTGCCTATCACTACCTTCAGACCAGATGCAGTTGAGTTAGGCTGTGTATTGCACAAATGCAATAAACATGGGATCGATCTTCAGGATAAAAATTTATCAGCAGTGCTCATGTAATCTTATGTGTCCGAGCTGGAATAATTTTTTCCATGACCTATTCTGCAATTCAAATCTCACTGTTCAATCATATATCACTGGCAAAGCAGTGTTAAATGAACTATAAGCTTCTGGTGGTGTGGTGAGAGCCAAATGCAACTAAAGGTTATGTACCTACCTACACTTGGTTGATCCAAGCATTACAGAAGAGAGGAAAATCTGTCCTTGATCTAAAACAATTTCTTCCATCTAATGCTTTTTATATTTGTTGGAGATCAAATCCTACCCATACTGGGTTGTATAATTACGGTAGTTAAGTATACTGGGAGGATATCAGGTTGGGGGAATCTGCCCTAAGAATTTGCCTTTCTTCTTAGCAATTCATTCCTCATACGTACCTCGGAGACCGCCACCACCTTCTCCAGGTATTTGTTGAAGATAGAGTATTGCTGTAGCTTGTTGTAGAGCTTCTGGTGCTGCTGTCTCAGAGCTGTTATCTCTATCTTGACCTTGGCGAGCTCCTTCACCCGCTGCTTCTTCAGTTCTCGTTCCTTGTTGGCTTTCTTCAGAGCTCTGATCCGTTTCTGATCATTCTCCTAACAATCCCCATATTGAATACACCCCCCCACCCCAGTGACCCAGCCAAAGACAAGTAACAAAGGCAAGAAGCAAAAAAGAAAAAGGGCAGGGAAATGGTAATTGGGAATGTCAATGCAATTTAGTCTCCATGGAATATACGAGAATGACAGTGTTATATAAGAAATTGCCTTAAATCAGGTCAGGCTATTGGCCTAGTATTGGCTCTCCAGGACCTCAAGAAAAGTATTTCCTAACATTTTTTTTTTTTTTTACTTTATCCTTTTACTGAAGATGAAATTGAACCTGCAATTTTTTGTATACAAATCAACTTTTCTCGGACTGAGATATGGAACCATACTGGTCCATTCCATGGAAACGTGAAGCCCATTAAATGGCTAGTATAAGTTTAGATTGCATTCTTCCTGTCTTTTTGTTATTATAGTTCTTACATTATTTTAAATTGTTTTTAATTGATAAATTAGGTTGACTGTTTATTTTTCGTTTTCATTGTGTATGCCTCCCAGAGTTCCATGCAAGTGAGATGGGCAGCTATATAAATTCAATCAACCAACCAACCAATCCCTTGGCTGGCCCTAGAGCAGGGTTCCTCAACCTCAGCAACTTTAAGATGGGTGGACTTCACCTCCCAGAATTCCCCAGCCAGCCATGTTGA